AGGCCAGGCGGACAGTGTAGCCCCAGTAGAGCCCGGCTCTGGTTCGAGGCTCCTGCGATGATACAACCGTGCCCCGGTAGGTCTTGCATTCTGGAGAGAACACAGGCTGTGAAGACGACGCAAGGGGCTGGGGACACAGGGGCTGAGTCCTGAGGCTGGCCAGGCCATGGCAGCGGCCAGGGACACCTCCGGCTACCTGGAAGCTGCGTTGGGTTCAGTCTCACAGTCACCCGGAGTCCAGGCTCCAAGTTCTTGTCGATCTTCACCTCCTGGGGAGAGGCCGGAAAGAAATGGGTGCTGTCCTCACATGGTCAGCAGGGGTCACTGCTCTCCGAGACTGTGGAGATGGGGACTGCAGGCCTGGGCCCCCCACTCAAGGCCACTGGAGCAGCCCCCTCACAGAAGACCAATTGCAACAGTCATGAGGCTGAGCATAATGGTGCACACCCTGCACTTGGCAGGCTGAGGCAGGAGGAACTACAGGAGTTGGAGGCCAGCCTTCAAGGCTACACAGATCTCCATGGTAAGGTTCTGTCTCAAAGAAACAAAGGGGCTGGGGAGATAGCTCAGCGGTCTAAATGTCTGGCTGGCAAGTACAAGGACCAGGGTTGGCAGGCGCACTGTGCCGGTGATGGACACTGGGCATGGTGGTGTACACCTATAATCCCAGCGCTGGAGAGGCTGAGACAGGAGGATCACTACGACTCCAAGCTGCACAGCAAGGCCCTATACCAAATAAATAAAAGATAAAAAACAAAACAAAAACTATCCTAAGGCACTGGTTAGAAATAACTGCTCACTTAACCACTATGTGCCCAAAACACTCCAGAAACAATAGTTGTTCCTGGATAGCATGGAGGTAGCAAATGGCTACCACACTTGAGCTGTGATAAAGCACAATTATTTGTGTCGGAGCCAGTTCTGAATTTTTTTTAAAAATGTATTTGGTACAAGGTCTCACTATGCAGCTCAGACTCATAAAATGATCCTCCTGTTTGTAGCCTCCCGGTGCTGGGATTACAGGCTTGTGCTACCATGCCTGGTCTCTGTGGCCAGCTCAGCGTGCCTAGGGGCGGGGAGGGATTGAACCCCAGTCCCTGTGCTTGCCTAAGCAGGCACTTGGTCCGCTGAGCTATCTTGCCAGCCCTGCCAGTTCTGAATTGATCACACTCGAGGTACTGCCTCCCTTGGAGAGTTCCTCAAGCCTTTCCCTTTTCCTCTCTGTGTCACCCTGGTCCAACTGTAGCTAGCCATTTCCGGTCGGATCTTTTAGAGGGAAGACTCCCACATAGAGGCATTTGCCTCTGCATTCAGCAGATCTGAGAGCAAACCATTCCTAGCCTGGCTCTGTACTGTGCTACAGCAGAGCCTGAATTTCTTTTCTTTATGGTCCTGGGGGTCGAACCCAGCGCCTCTGATGAGCTGTGTTGAAACTGTAATCCTTTTGCCTCCAAGTGCTAGGATTACAGGCATGCGCCGCTACATCCTGTATCCTCAGCCCTTTCTTTTTTTGTGTGTGTGTGTGTGTGTGTGGAACTGGGGATTGAACTCAGCCCTTGTACTTGCCAGTGAAGCGTTTGTTCCACTAAGCCATCTCCCCAGCGCCCCTTTCTATTTTTTTCCCCCCTTTCTATTTTTTGAGACAACATCTTACTAAACTGCTGAATTGTCCAGGCTGGACTCAAACCCCAATCCTTCTGCTCCAGCCTCCCCGAGTGCAGGGATTACTGGTGGGGCCACCTAAGTGGTAGCCCAGGCTTGCCTCAGACTCAGTGATCCTCCTGCCTCCACTTCCTGAGTGCTGGGATTACAGCATGTGGCACCAGGCCTGGCTATGATTTGCTTTCTAAAACAGTGAAGAAGCCAGGGATACAGCCTGCCTTCCGGGTCCCACCTTCTTCATGCCACAGTTAACAAAGGAGCCGTGGCCTGCCCGGGTGGGCCGGTCTACCACGACGCCCTCGCGGAACTCGGTGTCCTCATCCTGC